TTAGGAGGGAACTGAGGAGGATTAATGGCAAGAAGGCAGCGGGCCCAGATGGCATCAGCTCGAGGGTCGTCAGGTCCTGCGCGGACCAACTGTGTGGGGTGATGGAGCACCTCTTCAACCTGAGCCTGAGGTTGGGAAGAGTCCCACAGCTCTGGAAAACCTCCTGTGTTGTACCAGTGCCAAAGACTTCACGCCCCAAGGACCTCAACAGCTACAGGCCGGTGGCTCTGACATCCCACCTGATGAAGACCCTGGAGCGGTTGGTCCTGGCTCAGCTTCGGCGCCTAACAAGCTCATCACTGGACCCACTTCAGTTTGCCTACCAGCCTGGCATTGGAGCGGATGATGCCGTCATTCACCTCCTACATCGTTCCCTCGCTCACCTGGAGACCGCTGGAAGCACTGTGAGAATCATGTTCTTTGATTTCTCCAGTGCCTTCAACATCATTCTTCCCTCGGTTCTGAAGGACAAGCTGGTGAACTCTGGAGTGGACCATCACCTCACTACCTGGATCCTGGACTACCTCACCGACCGACCACAGTATGTGAGGACTCAGGGCTGTGTGTCGGACAGGGTCGTCTGCAGTACGGGGGCCCCACAGGGAACGGTTCTGGCTCCGTTCCTCTTCACCATCTACACTGCAGACTTCTCCCACAACTCCACCCAGTGCTTCCTGCAGAAGTTCTCTGATGACTCTGCAATAGTCGGCCTCATCACTGATGGGGACGACAAGGAGTACAGAGGACTGACTCAAGACTTTGTGGACTGGTGCCAGCTGAACTACCTCCAGATCAACGCCAGTAAAACCAAGGAACTGGTGGTAGACTTCCGCAGGCACAAGCATTCTCCACTGCAACCACTGAACATCCAAGGTATGGACATTGAGGCTGTGGACAGCTACAGGTACCTTGGTGTTCATCTGAACAACAGACTGGACTGGACTCATAACTCAGACGCCCTCTACAGGAAAGGGCAGAGCAGGCTGTACCTGCTGCGGAGACTCAGGTCGTTTGGAGTGGAGGGCCCACTCCTGAAGAAATTCTATGACTCTGTTGTGGCTTCTGCTATCTTTTATGGTGTGGTCTGCTGGGGCGGCAGCATCTCTGCTGGGGACAGGAAGAGACTGAACAGGGTGATCCGAAGGGCCAGCTCTGTTCTAGGATGCCCTCTGGACCCAGTGGAGGTGGTGAGTGACAGGAGAATGGCGGCTAAGCTGTCATCCCTGTTGGACAACATCTCCCACCCCATGCAGCAGACTGTGACAGCACTGAGCAGCTCCTTCAGTGGGAGACTGCGGCACCCACGGTGTGGGACGGAGAGATTTCGCAGGTCTTTCCTCCCCACTGCTGTCAGACTCCACAACAAAGACTTTAACTGAACAAACACACACATCCACACATGTGCAATAACACTAAGTGCAATAATCTTTTCTGGCATCGTTGTATTTTTACTCAGTTGTATATAGCATTCGTATTCTATTTTTATCTTATTGTATATTTTTATTCTATTTTATTCTACTGTATATAGTATATTATTTTATTCTATTCTGTACAGCTGTGTACTGTATTTATTCTTACTGTATTCTAATTTTTGCGTCATAACTTTTGCACTGTCCACTTCCTGCTGTGACAAAACAAATTTCCCACGTGTGGGACTAATAAAGGTTATCTTATCTTATCTTATCTTATCTTATCTTATCTTACTGAATGAATCATTATTAAAATAACTTTAAAAAATCGGTAACAATCATCTGTGTAGGTTTTCAGTCATCCGGGTCATGGTCATCTAAGAAATCTAAGAGGTCCAGAAACTTACGCTGGATCCAGATAAGAGAAGACAGATGGTTTGAAAGAGGAGTGAAAGAAGCATCTGTCTACTGTGAACGTCTATCTTTGAACAGAGGCGTTGATTTACGACACCAACTGTCTGCCATCTATAATCCAGTTTTGAGATCCTTCCCAGCCTCCTTAATGCCCACTCACACTTTGCGTCAGTTGATCTCATGATAGGGTGGGGGCAAGCTCTCACAGTGGCTTCACTCGAAACCTCTATTGATAATCACCCACAGCCTTTTTCACACCCCGACTCGTGTGATGAGGCACATCACCAGTAGTGGGTCAATGATTCTCTTAAGGGACACCCCCACTAGAGAGTACCTGGGACTCTCCATCATTTGGTCTTAGAACCTCGCTGATGAGAGGTGAAAAAACTTAAAGAAGTCCAGTCGCTTCTCTTTCCAAGCTCCTTAGAGTTTTTAACAATCATGTCACTTTTTAATTGTTTTGGTGCATTTTTGGCTCCAGGCAACAGGTGAGCTGCTGTATTGAGTATTAAGTAATTGAGCAATTTTAAGCAGCAGGTGCTTTTGTCTAGCTTTGGGATCCTTTGCATGCCAGCAATCTTACTTTGGGGAAACACCAATTGAGTGTTGAAAGTCTGGCAGCCATCCACGGTCGGACATCGAAGCAGGGAAGGTTTCCCTGGCGTGGCAAGCAGCCAGATACAGTAGCTGTTTTCAATTTGCAAAATATACTATCCAACCAGAGAACACAATTATATTCTCAAATATTTAAAGGAGATTTGATTTTTTTTAAAGATGGGTACACACAAAATTGTTACAGTCAAACAGACAGGACAGCAAATTTGTTGGCAAAAACAAGCAGCAGATTTGTCTTTGACTGTTGAACCGGCTCACAGGAGATGGACAACTTTGCTTTCATTTCATCTGTCACCTTCGGATCATCATCAGCAGCCTTTAGGTAGTTTATTTCTGGTCCTGTTGGCTCCACTCAGGGACTCGCACATTTTTCAGTTTGTTACACCTTGATGTTGCAGCAAGTCTGTCGGCACTGATCACTCCTACCAACTTTCATTGACTACCAGCTCATCACACTCTGATGCTTGGCCCTTAAGTGTCACATAATAACACACTGAGTAAGCACTTTCCCTTTTTTCCCTTGGTGCACAAATGGACTGCAAAAGAGCTCGCTCTCTGCTGACATAATCACCATTGGAGCAAAAATGAACTCTGCAGGTGTTTCCAGTTAGGGTGGAAGACATTTGGCTTGTAGGTGTGATGAAATGTATCAATACAAAACTCTTTTCTAGGGTTTAATCACATAATTGCCTAAAATTAACAAAACTGCAACAGAAAAGTAAAAAAAGAAAAAAAAAGAAAAGCTAAATGAAAGTGGAAATCCAATTTGCTAGTATGTAATCTGTCATTAATGCAGCACTGCTCTTTGAAAGAATAGTATTGGAATCTCACAAACTCACATCACGAGGGAGAAATGAGTGATGTGAAAATGCAAAAAGTTATTTTGGAATTGCTGAGTGATGAATCGAGACGCAATGGACAGAAAATTATGTCATTAAATAATGAAATTAAATTAAGAATGTCAGGCCAAAATGACACTAGTCTGTTGTCGTCCACAGGGCACAATGGCATAGATACATGTATGTATCAAACAGTGACGTCAGTGTAATCTCTTTGAAAGTTCAGATAGTTTTTTTTCTGACTTATTATTATAATGATGTCAATGAAAAGCACATTATTTGTGATTACTGAATCAGCTTGTTTATGACAAGGGATGAAGCTGGAAATGAGCATCTTAGTCATCTTTAACCAGACATCCTTACTCCTTGCCTGTAACTGACTTCTGATCAAATCTGTGAGCAAAGATTGTTCCCATCGAATAAAACCTATGTTCTCAGTTACGCTATACTCCTACATAACAGTAAAGTACTGTAAGGTAAAAAACATTGAAACAGTAAAAAAAAACAAAAAACATCCTAATCATCCGATAATCCTTTATGAGCAATAGTTGGTGACAGTGAGGAGGAAGAACTCTCCTTTGTAAAGGAAGAGACCCTAGACTCAGGGATGGGACAGCCATCTAACACGACTGCTTGGGGGGATTGAGGGCAAAAGGCAAACTGCAGAGAGAGACGACACTGAGTTGGGAGTGACAAACACGTCTGCCTAACCTGCCGTAACCAGGAGCATCAGGGCGCAGACACTGAAGGGCACCTTGTGTGTAAATGCCAGCAGCTTTGACAGAACGAGAACAGCCTGATGCATCTTTAAAAAAAACACTGTGTGGCATAACACTCACCTCTCTCCGTCATTATGGAGCTTGCTTTCATCTACCAGCTGGCTGCTTTGGCTTTCTGAACCGTTCTCTCTTCCCTCCTTCCTGTTTCTCTCTCTCTCCCTCTCTCTCACATACACTTCCTTTTCTCTTCCTTTTGTGCACACCGATCAATAATCCAATCTATACACCCTTTACCTTGGAGAGAGGAATCCTCATCACTACCTCAGGAAAGACACGCAGGCTGCTGAAGTCTTGGCAAGCCGTCGCTTCATCAGCCCACGCAGCCACTGAGACGTTTAAATTCCCATACTTTTAAAAGCTGTATGTTCTCCGTCTTAACATTTAATTTACCCTGGCAGCTCCTTTAAACTCTTTGTTATTTACCAAGACACTTGGCAGAGTAAAGAACGCACAATTACAGGGGCTGGAATACCACATATGAGGTACTAAAATCTGAAAGGATTAAAGTAGCCAGTGATAAAACCTATCAGAGCACAAAATGATATTCTGTGCTTGTGTGCTGAAGGAACAAGCACTAAAGGCACATCAGTAGAAACCTGTAGAGTGTGCCAGGTTCTCAATAGAAATATTAGCCGCTGATTCTCTCAGTGGTTTTCTATAGGTGCAGTGGAGACAAATCCTTTACAGCCAAACAGTGAAACAAAGCAATTTCTTTTCATTGATCTGTTTACTTTGGTTAAGTGTCTCAGGACATTAAGGTAGAAGAGAAGCTGGCTCAGTAAAGGAGGATGCCGCACTGTGAGAAACCACTTTCTGAGCTTATGATTGAAAGGTGCATTTTAGAGAGTCTGTCCCAAGGATGTGTTCAAGATGCTAATATTGTTTTAATGTGTGTAATTTTCTGTTCAGGCCGTCTCCTCATCACATTTTCTTGATTGTTGCAGGGCAGCTGAACTCCTCCACGACCCCATGAGTTTGGTTTGGGTAAGTAAAATGGCTTTGTGCGTTTGTGCGTGAGTAAGCTGTGTTGTCACGCATATGCTCGTAGAAGCGCCGTCTACAGTACGCAAAGTTTTAATGTGCAGTCGCTTTATGCATGAACAAATGCTTTATGAGGAGAGATCCTGCCACACACACACACACACACACACACACACACACACGAGTCCCAGTGAGCGAGTCACAAAGAGGCTGCTTTGTTACTGAAGCCAGCTCGCCCTGTTCACTGGTTTTATTCCTTCACTCTGAATACTGAACATCTCACTGCCGTCATCCAAGCCAGGAAACCCAGGACTGCTGTGTGTGTGTGTGTGTGTGTGTGTGTGTGTGTGTGTGTGTGTGTGTGTGTGTGACAGTTGGTTTTTTTGAACAAATAGAAAATGTGTGCGAGTCATCCCTCCAGGCTGTGTGTGATGTAGCAGCATGCATCAGGAGAACAGGGACTTGTTGCCAACAATCAACAGGCTGTTTCCTCCATGTTTGTGCCATTTTTCTCTTTTTTTAAATGCTTCATTCAGTAAACCTTACCACATGACTTCATGTTTGCAGTACTGACCCAGTGGAAATAAGTAAAAGTGTTTGGAGAAAGTGACAGCTGTATGTTCTTTTGCCTTTAAGTTTTCCTTATAAAACTGCCAACAGCCAAACAAAGAAGGTGACACCATGATGCTCTTCTCTAATTCAGTCCCTTTTAATGCAGGCAGATGTTGGATGATGCTAGATTGCAACGTAAAAACAAAAAGATCAAAGCAAATCTAGAAAACACAGTGAAAATACGAAACAGCAAAAAGGAGGGATTTGTTGTTACTGGTTTCTGCATCTAGTTGTGTTGTATCTGCAGTGTTGTTGAATTGAAGAAGTTTTTTCAATTTGCTTTCGATCACTGTAGTGATCAAATTTGAGTTCTGAATAAGATTCCTTTAATGTGGCAACAGTTATGAATGGTCACAAATCAACCATTTCCAGCCACGACTGTCAACTACAAGTAGTGAAGTGTCATCACAAACCCAGGACACTCTTGCTGTGAGGTGGCAGTGCTAACCACGGCACTGCTGTGCTGTAATAGCTGTAATCTGCATTGATCCCTAAACAGTCACCACACCAACTTTCAAACACAGCAAACTGGTGTTTGAGTTAGAGATGCGCTGATTAGAGCTATCAGACGGTACTGTGGTGCAGTGGCTGGCACTGTTGCCCTGCAGCCAGAAGGTTTCTCGTTTCAGCATCCTGATTGGTTCAGGCCTTTCTGGGTGGAGTCTGCAGGTTCTTCCTGCGCTTGTGTGGATTTCTTCTGGATACTCTGCTTCCTCCAACAGTCCAAAAACAAGCCTGTTAGATTAAATGTGGAGACAGTTAGGTAAAGTGTTTAAAGTTCATAGAATGTGTTAAGCGTACCGTATTAATCTAAATAATAATTGTAAAATGTTTGAGCTGTCAGTAACAGAGAAGTGATATAAATGCTTGTCCATTTTCATTTTTTCTCCCATTTCTGATTATCTTCCTAAAAAATGAGATTTCATGATATACATGATTCATCTTCTTTAAATCTACGAGACATTGGCCATTCAGTTAAAATGTATACAGTATTCCCCCAAATTATTTTGTAAATGTTTGCATCATACTATCATACTAAGCTGTGTTTAGCTTCTTTTAGTATTTCATCTAAACCAGCTGCAACAGCAGAGCTGAGCTGATTGTGTTGAAGATGAATCCATTTAATGCTGAACAATAATTACTTTTATGGGAATCACTGCAGCACAAAAAAAGACTTCCTAATGCAAAGCTATTGGATCGATGAAACGGCAGATGGCTGCAGTGCAATCAGAATTATAATTAAAACAGAAACAGTCACAGCCCAGCGCATGTTCCATTTTGTTTCAGAGAAAAGAAGATACACTGGGTTTACATTAATCAAGGTGTTTACCCAGCGAGTGAATCAGCTGACAGCGCATCAGTGCATCTCTAAATTTAATCAATCTCTAACCTCTTATTAAAAAAGCAACATCAAGGAAGCCTTTTCTCACAGAATTCGTGTTTTCTTTCTTTATCATTTTACATCATCCTTTCGTTCATTTTTTTCATCATCCTTGTCTTCTTGGTCTCTCTGGCCTATACCGCCTCTGTTTTTCACCGTTTCTCTTTCTGGTTCCAGAACACTTGCTGTTATTTCAAAAAAGTAGTCAACCTCGTGCACTTTACATCCGTGATTATACTTCTCTGTCCTTCCTCCTTCTTTTCCGCCATCCCTGAAATGTAATGGAGACAGTGATTAGGGACAGCTCAAAGTATGAGATATATTTTTGACTGGGGAATCACCTCTAACGATGTGGGCAGCGGTCCAGTAGGATGAGATGCCAGTGAAAGTGGCCATTTCCTCTCCATTGTCGCACACATTGATTATTTTTATGCCCGGTTGAATTATCTCATCCTCATTAATACTTTATTACTTTCATTTGATCACATTTTATTACACCTCTGAGCAACATTTCTTCCTTCAGTCGATATGTCTGTTCTGGGTGTTTGCGTCCAAGCTTGTGCCCTGTGTGAGAGGTCTGTTTGAAATATAAATTAAATTTATCTGTGACTATCACTTCATTAACCCCATAAAGGTAAAATAGATGAAGTCTCTTTGAGTTAAAAGTGTGGTTTCTGTCCTTCTCCCTGTTTTGCAGTAGGTTGTAGAATGTTTGGATACTTTATACCACTTTGTACTTGATACCATAGGGGAAATTACTCTTGCAGCAGTAGCAGAACAATACAAACGGTATAATTTACAACAAAAATAAATTTTTTATAAGTAGAAGTACTATATGGCCTAAGTGAAGGCCTAATAATTTTTATATATGAGAGTGAGCATGTGCTGATGAGGGATAATGGATATATTGAACCATGGATGTCAAAGACGGTGCTGGCAGAAGGAAAAGACCTCCGAGAAGATTCATGGATGTAGTGAAGGAGGACATGCAGATGGTTGGTGTGATGCCAGTGATTGGGTGAGATGGAAAGAATAAGAACAAGACCAAATTAAATAACAAAAAATAATAAGGTCCAACTGTGTAATATGGAATTCTAACAAGTAGTAGTGCAAATGACATTAAGAAATCTGTATATTATAAAGCAACATCAGCAAAAGGTTTAACACAGACAATTTTTACTTTTTAAAAATTTAAAGTGTTTTTAAAAAAATATGATCTGATTACTGATTCAATACATCCCAGTGAGCGCGGAGCGTGACTTTGAGACTGGCTCTAGAGCAACAGCATCAGCACACTAATATGTGTCCCACCTACACCAATATCTTTGGACTACAACAATATTCATTTCACAGCACAAAGCACCACTGCATGAGCATGTGGATATGTAACTTCATGCATTTACTCAACTGAAGCTCGCTTTAATGTTATTATACTCCAGGTATTTTTATTTCTTCTACTCTACCACCTTCCTGCATGTAAGGCCACATAGTTTAAAGCTTGGTTTCTTCTTCTGTTGCAGATTTTAACATTTGGATTTACTCATGCAAGCTGCACTATTATTAAAGATAAAACTACCCAGTACTATACAAGTACTTAAAATCATCTCCAGCTGCAACATTAAAGAGAGATACACATAAATAAATAATTATGACCCGGTTGTATAATATTAATTTACGTGTTCCTGCATAATACTGAAGTACTATAGGGGTAAAGACACTGAATACTGCTTGCATTTCTTTGTAAAACATTTGTTGAACACGAAACCATGCTAGACTCTTGTTTATGCAGGTTACAGTAATACATCTGTATCGAGGCTTCGCCTGAAAATCGTACTTTTCGTTCCTACACTGGATTTCTATCTAAGCAGTTGTTCTGTTTTGCCGAGTGCCCCCTACTTTAAGTTTGAATGTGCCGCTCACTGACAAAATCCTGGGAATGGCTGAGACTATCACAAAATGTTTGTTTTAATCAAACACACGCCCACATTAACAAGGTTTTTATTAACTATGCAACATGAAACCTGATCCATCATGACTTCTGCTTTTTTTGGGGCCTCCTTGTAAACCCGTACCTCAAAGGCTGCCATTATATTGTGAGCCTTGAATCTCCACTGACTGCTTTCCTCTACAAAATGATTAAGATACATTCTAAGATTGTCCTTCGGTGTCCCTGCATCAGCCACCCCCCACGTGCAGCTTCCTTTAATCACGTACACATTGTTTGCCAGAGGTTTCATATTTCCATTGGCTTCCTGTCTGCCTGTTTGTAGAATGTAGATGGCAGCACCCGCGGGATTTGAACCTGTAACCTTGTTACCTCCAGGGACTAAATCCTGCCTCTGAGCCTGAATGTTATTACCCGACAATCCAATCCATTACTTTCACTGAACAACACAGACTGTTGCACACCAGTAGCTTCGGGATGCTGGGTGAAGATGATTGAAGCATAATCAATATTTTATTAGAAAGGCTGACACCCCCTCTATGTGTGAAAAAGACACAAAATCAATAAGGCTAGATTTGTGGCATGTTGGTCACAGGTCTTTGTTTGGATTCAGTCTTGGCAAAATCCTCCAATTCGTCCCATTAAAAATGTGAAAAATAAAATAATGTAACCTGTGAAACCAACTATTTACTATTTTAGTATTTATTAACAGTACAGCAGTGTGACAAAAGAGTCATTTGCCAAGTCATATAAAAAATTTAATGCAATAGTTGTAATATTTTAAAGACCATTTTGATGATTTGTTGAAGAATAATTTGGTTTTCTAGTGAACCATGTTATGTATACAGCAGCGATTTTTTTTTGAGGCACAGGGTTATTTTAATATTTGTGCCTCATTATTTTATAATAATGAGGTATATTTAATGGTGTTGCATGCATTAGAAAGAGCGTGCATGGAATGAAAAGATAAACGGACAGCAATTTTTCTCCTGCTCCTCGTGTAAACATTGCTCGAAGCAAAGAAGTGAGTATTTTTCTGTAGCAGAGGCACAAAAACATCTCTTT